CTTTAAAGACAAGCTGGTGGGTGGTATAAATTAAGAGAAACACATCCCTGATAAGTAGAATGGAAAGGACAGAACAGATCTCTGTACCTCCATACCAGCACCCCTCCATGTCCACTACCTCCAAGCCACTGTGTTAGGGGTACAAGTCTTTTTGAGAATCAGTGGTGTGGAATACTAGTGCTCAAAGCAGAGGTGGAGGGCCTGGATGGTTCAGTCGGTCAAGCAGCTGCCTCCGGCGCAGGGTCCTGGGATCGAGCCCTGCCATGGGCTCTCCACTAGGCAGGGAGCCTGCTTCTCCCTCTCCCTCTGCCCCTCCTCCAGCCTGTGAGCTCTCTCTCTCTCTCTCACTTATGCACTGTCTCTCAAATAAATAAATAAAATCTTAAAAAAAAAAAAAAGCAGAGGTGGGAAATGGCAGGTAGAGTGGGCCCCTCGGTAGCCATGAGACCAATACATGGCTTCAGAACATCTTCCTCCCTGCCACTTCTCTCAGAGCAATGCTACATCTTACATCTAAGGCAGGCAGGGAAAACCAAAATGCTACTACTGTAAGCCCAATGGAGCCCGATAGGGAACCAAAAGAACCATCCTCCTAAAAGCTCCCAGCCTCAGGAGGAGGCCTGGTGCTTGAAAACAGCCAGAGCTCCTCCCATGGAGCACAGTTGAGGGGGAATGCGATGGACGGGTCTGGCTCTGAGGCTGTGGAACCTCAGGCCAGTCACTGAGCTGCCCGTGGCCTGTTTCCTCACAAAGAGAGGCTGGACTAGATGACCAGCAATTCTGGGAATTTTGTATTTGTCACCAGGAGATAATCTGACCCGAAGATCTGACATAGCAATAACTTCTATAGCTCTGGATGGTGAGGGAAAGATTTCTGCCTTCCCCCTGGACTGGACACCCACTCTACAGCCTCCCACAACATCTTCCCTCCAAGGCCCCAGAATACTACAGCAAACTGTGTCTTGGAATGAGGATACCATCCCCAAAGTGAGTTCGTGAGAGATTAATCCAATTCACCATTCCCAAATAGCCTATTCCACAATGCCATTAAAGGGGGATGGGTCAGCAGGAGGGAGGCGAAGGAAGTGAAATGAGCATTAGATTGTTCTCACTTGGGGCAACTAGCTGTACCAACTGAAACTTATTATTTTATAATCAAAGTATATTTTTATAATAGGGCTTGCACCATTAAGTGAGAAACAACAATATGAGCAATTCCTCATGCCAACTTAAAATACCTCCGCATGCAAACACTCCAGCATTTAGATCACAACACCCCCTAAGAAAGAAAATGTAGGATGTCTCAGCACATTCCCTAGATAGTTCCGTCATCAATTCAGAGAGGCCCCCTACCGCCATCCTACAGAGAAAATACTCTGTTACCTTTGTGCAGACACACACAACTTTGCTTCTATGGCCTTTTGAGAAATCCAACTCCTGGACTCCAGGTTCTAAAATGAAACCATCTTGGCTAGACTAAATTTGCTTGGTATTAGGCAAGCACAATCCCCTCCACCACCCCCCAGAGCCCCTTTGGACAGCAAAACCAAAAGAAGAAAAGGGGCTACTTTTTTTTTTTTAAAGATTTTATTTATTTATTTGAGAGAGAGAATGAGAGAGAGAGAGAGCATGAGACGGGGGAGGGTCAGAGGGAGAAGCAGACTCCCCGCTGAGCAGGGAGCCCGATGCGGGACTCAATCCCGGGACTCCAGGATCATGATCTGAGCCGAAGGCAGTCGCTTAACCAGCTGAGCCACCCAGGCGCCCCAGGGCTACTTTGTATTTGCAGAGAAGCTTTGTGATTTGCCAACCACCCACACACACCCATGATCTCATCTAGTCTCATAACAACCCAGTGAGGTAAACCTCCTCACTCTACCTTCTAATAAGGTATGCCTATCTCATAGGACTGTAATGGGGATGGCCCATAGTAAGCACACAGTAAGTGCTAGCTACTAGGCATTACGCACAGCAGCAAATATTATTTCACCCATTTTATTAGGGAGAAACTGAGACTCAGAGGTTGGACAGTTGATTCCAAGCAATGAGGCCTCTGGGGGTTTACAGCAAGCTGGGAAGGCAGAAAGGCTAGTGCCGGATTCTTTCCACCACATCAGTAGAGACCCTAATTGTTCAAAACATTACAACTACACATTTCCATGGGAGCCCAAAGTCCTGATTCTGTTCCCAGTTCTCTACTCCAGCCATATACTCAGAGCTTTAGTTCTCTGGACCTTTGTGTTGCCTTCTCCATAATAAAGTCAGACTCACATTTTTTTTTTTTTAACCAAACAACAGAATGTCAGGCTTCCAGATGAAAGGCTCTATTACAAGTACAAAGTATCATTTAATTACACTGCTGCTCTAGTTATCTGCTTCCCAGCTCCTAACTCCCACTGGGCAGATTCTGAAACCGCATAGGAGATTATGTCAAGAGGGGAGAACAGGAGAAACATTCTCTCCCTGAACTTTCTTAAATGGAAGAGAGAAACAGAATGAAAAGAAAGGCCCATTTTCCAAGGAGGGGGCTGGGGCAATGATCTTTCCGTTAAGCGGACCTGCCTAAGAATCTATAGATTATTTAACGCCGGGGGTGGCTGTGGAGTGAAATAAAGGAAGCTTTGTGCAGTGCCAGCCACAGTTCCCTCATTCCCTCCCCACAGCCAGGCATTTAACCCAACTCTTTAAATCATCAAGCTCTAATGTACGCCATCTGTGCACCAGTTGTAGCCAACGAAACTGAAGCCTGTGCTGACTTTGGCCTGGACTTGTGAATGAGCCTTTCTGCCCCAGAAGGGGCAGGAAGGAGGACAGGAGGCCAACAAAGACTTTTTTTGCTCATCACTTGTCTTCTCCCAAGGCTCACGCTCCACCCATCTATTTGATCATTTAGTGAGCTCTCGGCCATGTTGGGTCCTGACCGGGGAGATCCAAAACTAGGAGATGTGGTCCCAGGTAAAAGAGAATGTAGAAAAGCTCCTGGGAGAGAGGAAAGAGGTGAAGGAAAAGGGCTGCTGTTGGCTGAGGCACAGACGCCTGAAATACCCCCATCTGCATATTCAGGGATGTTGCTTAGTTCCAAGTGGTTGGAACATAAAGCAAGGAATTGGCAAGAAACCTCACTCAAAAAGGCCCGACTGTCCAAGGCCCTGAATACCAGGCTTCAAACATCAACACTGAAGGCCACTACCATCTCCACATGTTCCCTCTGTCCATCTTACAAGGCCCAGCTCAAATACCACCTCTTCCAGAAACCCATATTGAACATGCTCAAAGAAATTGCTCTCTCTTCTTTGAGCCTCCAATTTGCATTCTTGGACAGCCTGTTTGAGTCTCAACTTCTCCATCCAGAAAATATGATTAACATCACCTACCTTGAAGTCTTCTTATGAGGGTTAAGTGAGATAACATTTATAAAGTGTCAGGTAGTTTTCAGTACACAGAAGTTGCTAGAACACATTTTATTGTTACCTCAATTTCTTATGATACGTAACACTTCTTCCTGCTATTAAAAAGATGTTTTGGCTTCCATTTTCTCTGGAGATTTCCAGAAATAGGACAGCTCACATCTTCCCTCCAAGCTTACAGGCCCCATTCCAAAGCAAAGGGGACTGACTCCTCTCTTCCCTCACTGACACAGCCTCCCCACATCCAAAATTCCAGACTCGAGGGGTTCCCAAAAGATTCAAGCGGAATCTGAGACAAGATGCTGGCTGGAACACAAATGGCATAAAGGAGAGTAATCAGCAGAAGCCTAGAGAAGTGAAAGTAGGCCAGAAGCCAAGACTCTAAGGGCTCCAGGGTTCAAGCTCTGTGGTAACACTCGATCTTGGGATTGGCCTAGGAGGAGGACTTCTGTCCTCAGTCCTGATTTGAGAAGCCCCACAACCACAGACATGGTTGTTCAAGCACCCTCCTTCACTTCCTGTCAAATCAGCCAGCTGGACAGGGCTGTTCTAGAACTACTGATCCTTCATCCCTTTCTGGCTGGGACTACCAAACCAGAGCAAAGAAAAGTGATGCCACCTTTTCCAACAGTTCTTGTAAACAGATCAAGAACACCAAATTTTTTTTTTTTTTTAGTTTGGGTATGTATAAAGGTTGTTTTTTTTTATTTTAATGGCATGAAGTCTAGGTTCTGAGGAAGGATTCTTTTTAAAGTCAAAAGGTCCCCATGATCTCTTTCTCCTTTTCATGTAGCCTAGTAAATCCCATTTCTCCTCCCATGGGAATTTAGGGCCAGGAAGGAGGGAGCTCCCCTAAAAATGCTGCCTGAAGGAGCCAGTTCCTGGACTGCACAACTGGGATGGTGGGTTTATTGGTTAACAATCTCCCCAACCCAACTTTAGGAAGCAGTTGTTAAAGCTTTTCAGGGAAAATAGGGTTCCACTCTTTCTTCTGACTATGATCAAGTGTCATAGCATATTTTACCTCATGTAGAAGCCCTAAAGGTCCCGAGGCCAGTGGGTCATCTCTTTACCAAGCCACTTGTGGTCCTCACCAAAGGCCACCCATTTTAGTAGCTCAACAGTCTGATAACCTTCCCAGGGAGCTTGGAAGGCAACATCCTCTCATCTCAGCTAAGAAGCCCCTCCTACAAGATATCCTGCTCCTACCACCTTTCCTAGAGTTCTCTTTCCAGGCAGACAGCACTCTCCATGGCGTTCACCCACCAACTTGAGCTAAGCCAGCCAAGTGAGAGGTTCCAATCACTCCTCAGCCCCTCTCCCCTCCGGCCTGCGAGCCACCAGCCCCCCAACCTCCAACAGGGATGACATCTAATTTCCAAAATTACAAATTAAAACTAGTACACCCTCCCTCCAGCTCAGAGTTATCTCTCAATTGAGTGAAACAGCCACACAGGTTAGCCCTCCCTGGACAAAAAATAAAGTACAAATATCTTGGTTTCTTCAGAAGAGCTAATAAGCCTGTGCAACCTTATGAGCCAGAAGTGTCCTCCAACCCAGAGGAGGGCAAGGAAGGCCTACAGGGAAATGTACCTTGGAAATGAGTTCATCGTGATTGGCCAAGTGGGCTCTGCAGTGAATGCAGCTGTAGGTCCTGTGGCAGGAGGGCAGATATGCCTGGAAAGTCTTGGATCTTGTCATCTTCACCATTGGCGCCGCTGAGTGTGGGGTGAACTCTGGAGTGGCCCACGAGGCACTCCCACAGGACGGGTCGCACGGGAAACACCGGAAGACACAGGTAAAGGCCGTGGTTTGGCAGGGGGTGGGTGTGGGGCAGGCTCCACACACTGGTGATGTCTTCAGAGGAAGGACCCTCAAGCAGAGGTCGAGGGCTGGTTCTCAGCAGCCTGCAGTGCCAAGATAAGGGGAATATCATTAGCTGATGGAACAGGGCTTCCTGCAAAGCAAGTCAAGTCCAACAGCCACCCAAGAGAGAGGGCAGTATTTACAGGAAGAAATGACCCCTTCTCTGTTTCTTACCATCATTGCCAAGACGCCCAATTATGAGAAAGAAACTACTGGAGATCCCAGTGTTGATGCTTTTCCAGAGCTGGAGGTTCAGTATCCACCCAGGGTTCTCAGCAGTTACCTTAGGCACCCTCCACCAACATTCAGAAACTGGCATGATCACCGTTCTCAGGGAACCCTAGAAGAGGCCAGGATTAAGGATGTACCACCTGTAGCCCCAGGGAGAAGGCTCCTAAGGGGCCTCGTCTTCTGAGCCAACCAAGATAAAGGGCTAAATGAGGAGGAAACGTTCAGCCTCTACAAAGTCACTATAGCAACAGTCATGTATGTATTTCTCATCCATCTCCGGATTCCAGGAGTCTTCCAACACTTAAACCCACCACCTAGAGGGGTGCCTGGGTGACCTAGTCGGTTAAGCATCTGCCTTCGGCTCAGGTCATGATCCCAGGGTTCCTGGGATGGAGCCCTGTATCGGGCTCTCTGCTCGGCGGAAGTCTGCTTCTCCCTCTGCCCCACCCCTGCTCTCTCTTGCACGCCCCCTAACAAATATAATCTGAAACAAAAAACAAAAAGCAACCCACCACCTACAGAGGCAACAAACCCCACACCACCCTTTGCTTGGAACTACACATGATACAAAGGATCAAGTTCCCAACCAGCAGGGTCCCTCAAAGCTAGCCAGCTCTTTTGGGAGAAATTATTTCCTTTGCCATACCTTGCCCAGAAATAGATGCTCAGTACTTTTCTGTTTGAAAAGCAAGCAAGCAAATGAATGAAACAAATGGCATAATCAGACTGCTGCATCTAAAATTCACAATGACAGTAAATTTTACCAGAATTTCTCCTCAACCCTCAAAGTTTCCATTAGTCATCCCACAGCACCAAACATCTCTCCTGCCACTGCCTCAGCAATTTTATTCTACTGGGAACCAAGGACACTGAGAAAGTGGGTGGTTTCCGGGTTATGTCCAAGTAAAGGTCCGAGGGCAAAGCCCCAAGGTCCAATGCACACTCCGCTTCTCTGGATCCCCTGACTGAAGCTTCTGGACCTACCTATGCCCTGCGCTTCACTAATAGGGGTGGTGTTCCCACTTGCCTACCTCCCAGGAGAGTCATAGTGTTAATTAATGCCTGCATCATGCCTTTTTTTTCCCCAAAGATTTTATTTATTTATTTGACAGAGAGAGACACAGCGAGAGAGGGGAACACAAGCAGAGGGAGTGGGAGAGGGAGAAGCAGGCTTCCCGCGGAGCAGGACCCTGGGATCATGACCTGAGCCAAAGGCAGATGCTTAACGACTGAGCCACCCAGGTGCCCCCCCTGCATCATGCTTTAAAGATAAAATTATTTAGAGAGACAGGGGAGGAAGACAAATAAAATCAGATCTTTGCGGTATTATGTCTGGGATCCATCTGGATGTTTAGAGAAAGCTGTAAATCATAGTTCTCTTTTTCCTCTAAACCTTACTAACCAGATCTTTCCAAAGGGATGCTGTCCTCCTCCCTGACATCTTTCCCACCACAGCAGTCACTGAAAGTCACTGTGCCCCTGGCACTCTGTACATCCTCCTGAGTGGCCAACCGCACTGCCCAGCACTAGGCTGAAGGACAACAGTGGTCACTACTCTCACCCTGCATGTCCCTTGTGCGGTCCTGAACCATGCAGGGCTCCATGTTCAGGGTGGCCAATTACACATGAGACGTCCAACTGTAGAAGGAATTCAGATCTACAAGGGCCCAGGCATAGTGTCTTCCCTGCTTGGTCCACCCACCACTATTTTTAAAAATGTGGAATCAGGTGACACTGAACATTATAGAAATACTTGGAAGAATATGGAGGTGAGAACTTGTTTCCCCAGCTTTGCCTCGGAGTTAGGCCAGGCCATAACAGGGGATGAACAAGGAAGACACATGACCCCTTGGATCCGGAGCCCCTCCTTCTCACCCAGGACATCCTCTGATAGAAGGTAAGGTGAGTGTGGTCAAAACAAAAGCCCATGGTAGATCAGTGGTGTCGGGTGTTGAGGGTGTTGAGCTGTCAGAGGTGGTAGAAAGAGCCAAGTACCCTGCCTGAGGTTTCCTGAAATACCCTTGAACTTTCCAATACCTGCGTTTTGCTCTCAGGAAGGGCAGTATCTCCAGGAAAGGAAGGGGTGGTAGGTCAGGGTAAGGAACAGGAAAGACAGGCAGGGAAACGAGCTAGAGGCTTGCCCCAGGCCAGCTTCTGAAGTCCACAGCCTTCACTGCCCAGTGGGAAGCACTCAGAGTACGGGTCCCATCGGTGTTATACAAACACTGAAGGAAGAAAAGGAAACAACGAGCCCTGGCTGCCAGTCTGGGTTTACAGAGCAGCCAGAGTCTGTTTTCTTATACATGCAGACAGCTTCTAAATTATGCATTTCCCCAGAGTAGAATTATTTCTTCTCTCACTTCTCTTCTGTAGGAAACCAAAAAAAAAAAAAAAAAAAAGTTTGCAGGCAGGGGTTTCTGGTTATGCTCAGCTTCAAATCTGAATTCCAAAACTTGTTCAAAGCTACCTTCTGAGGAGTAAGCATTTATGGTCTGTACTAAATGTGAACATGTCACACACAAACACATACCCATGCACACATTCATCACACACCACAGCTCTGAACTTAAAAAGAGAAGAATCGACCCCATAAGCAACATCCCAGGCTGCTGGGTGCTGGAGAAACCCCGGAGAGCCTAGCCTGCCGGCATGAGACTCTGCTGTAACAGGGTCACTCTGCTCCTCTCCCTCTCTCACAGGAATTCACAGGCAACCAAAATGGGACTCCTTCCCTAAGAAGCAAGGAAAGAAAAAGTGGCTTGTTGAAATATGCATCTTGTCCAACCACAACAGGGCAAGCTGGAAGAATGAGAGGGGTCAGTAGAAAGCAAGCTGAAGCAGAATCAAGAGAGGATCGTTGTGCCTGAGAACAAAGAGAGTAGGCTGTCACAGAAACGAGGTGACAGCTAGGTCCGAAAAATAATCACCTGTTACTGTCTTCTTCCCTCCTAAGGGAAAATTTTAAAAGCGGCTTCTTTGAGTCAGTTCTTAGGAAGGAAGGTAAAATAGATGGATTTAATCTTTATTTTTTTAATTTTTTAAAAAGATTTTATTTTTATTTTTAAAGATTTTATTTATTTGTCAGAAAGAGAGAGAGAGAGCACAAGCAGGGGGAGGGGCAGAGGGAAAGGCAGGCTTCTTGCTGAGCAAGGAGCCTGATGTGGAATTCGATCCCAGGACCCTGGGATCATGACCCGAGCTGAAGCTTAACCGACTGAGCCACCCAGGCGTCCCTATCTATCTATCTATCTATCTATCTATCTATCTATCTATCTATCTATCTATTTATTTATTTGAGAGGGAGAAAGAGAGCAAGAGAGCAAGAGCATGCGGAGGGGCAGAAGGTGAGGGACAAGCAGGTTCCCTGCGGAGCAGGCCCTGAGAGCATGACCTGAGCCTGAAGAAGTCAGATGCTTGCCTGAAGAAGTCAGATGCTTGACCAACTGAACCACCCAGGTACCCCTAAGTTTTTTTTTCTTTAAAGGAAGGAACGAAGGATATGGGGCTGCATTGATTTCTGGACTTCGGTACTTGTAATGGGGCCACATAGGCTCCATGGGGCTTCATGAGTCCAACTCGTGGAGTCCAACATACTGTGGAGTCCAAATTGATTTCCAACAATAATCAAATGAGCCCGATATTTAAAAGCCTCAGGGAACATGTACAAATTAAACACCATTTTAAGTGAAGCAACAATCCATCACAGTGGAAATTAAAGGAAGATTTGCTACCACCCCCAGCTGGCTCCTGCTGATCAGCATGGAAAGAAAAGATGTGAACTATTATGATTAAAAACAAACGCCTCAGATACTGCACTTCAAGAGCCAAAAGCACAGGGAGCACACAGCGAACCTGGCTGTCTCACCTGACAGGCCTTTTCCACAATGAGCCACAATGGCAGCCCGAACCCAAAGGAGAAACTTCTGCATGTCCCCAGGATGGAGGGGTAGGAGGTACGGATGCTCCAGGTAAGCCATGAAGGAACTGGATGAATGAGGTGGGAGACAAGGGGCCACAGAAACTGACAAGGTTGGGGGGGCGCCTGGGTGGCTCAGTCGTTAAGTATCTGCCTTCGGCTCAGGTCATGATCCCAGAGTCCTGGGATTGAGCCCCGCATTGGGCTCCCTGCTTCGTGGGGAGTCTGCTTCTCCCTCTCCCACACCCCCTGCTTGCGTTCCTTCTCTCACTGTGTCTCTGTCAAATAAATAAATAAAATCTTAAAAAAAAAAAAAAAGGAGATGGGTTCTAGAACCTTACTCATGGGTTTCAAATCTCAGTTTTATCCTATACAAGCTGTGTGACCTTGGGCAAGTTTATTTAACCTCTCTGAACCATGATTTCCTCATTAGAAAATAGGAATAATAATATCAACCTCATAAGGCTCTGTGAGGATTAACTAAACTAATACTCAGCATGTGCACCTGGAATGTAGTTAAGTGCACAAACAAGTTTCAAGTGTGTATTACCACTGACATCCATCTACCATCAACACCCACGAATTGCTTCAGGCTCTTCCCTATCACTTCATACTCTATACTCCCATTTTTTAAACTGACATTTAAGGGTCTACCATGTGCCAGGGACTCTCCTAAGTGCTCCCATTTGGCAACCAAATTCTTTTAGTTCCCCCTAACACACCATACTTTATACACCCTTGCATGGTTTTGCTGATGCCATTCCCTCAGTCTGAGGCATCCTTCCGATTTCTCCTCACCAGACCTTTATTTTGTTTAAGATTTTTATTTTATTTTATTTATTTGACAGAGAGCACAAGCAGGGGGAACAGCAGAGGGAGAGGGCACCCCTCACT